GTGTGCAACATTCTTTCAATTTTGATACCACTGGTAATGTCATCCTGCCAGAATGTCCTGTAACCTATGCCCTAAGTAAAAAGAAACGATTCTGGAATGTGTAATACGTGTTCGGCAGGCTGGCTGTGTGGGTGGGTGGCTGATTGGCTGTCTCTGTCTGTCTGTATCTCTGTCTCTGTCCATCTCTGTTTCTGTCTCACAGATACACATAAATACAGTTATTATACATCGTGTAACTTACCTAGGATAACACCCCAGAAAAATCCAAAGTGCGATACTGTGCTTGTAGATATAAGGTATAATAATCATGACTGGCAAGTAGTATGCATTTTCACTTGATAGAAGTCAGACGTGATGGCTCTGCATCGTGTGTAATACCTATTGGTTCTTGAGCGGCTCTCCGAGACAGAGAGACAGAGACAGATGAGCAAAGGCAGAGATAACAAATAACAAAAAAAGGCACAATACCGTGACTGGAACGATACACAAATAACCCACACATGAAAGAGAGAAGCTTACAACGACATTTCGGTCCGACTTGGACCATTGACAAAGTCACAATAACCAGAAGTGGAGCAGGACGGCTATATATAGGCAGGAAGAGGTGGTGGTAGTAGCAGTAGTAGTACAAGAATAGTATATAATACCAACAAGATGAAATTAAGATACGTGCAACACCCGGGCATCCCTATCGCAGATGTTTTGCCATCCAGCCAGCCACTGGATGGCGAAACGTCCACAACAAAGACAGCCAGACGTCGCACATGTGTCTTAATTTCATCAGTAGTAGTAGTAGTAGAAGAGGTAGTAGTAGTGGTAGAAGTGGGAAATAAGGAGGATGAGCCAGTCAAATACAAAGGAAGGGGAGCACTGCAAGAGAGCTAGGTGCCCACTGAGGGAGAGCAAGCGCACAGAGGTGCGTGAAAGGGGAAGTGGTGAAATAAATGAAGAAGGAACAGAAACAAGAGACAGAAGAGAGAAAGACAACCCAGAGGAGAAAAGGAAAGAGGAAAGGGGAAGAGGGAGAAGAAGAAAAAGAAAAAATGAGGAGTCAGGGTAAGTCACGGGTGTTCTGAAGTTTGGAGCATTTTATAATATAGTGGGAGAGGAAGGCATCTACAGAGACGAAGCCAGGGCTAAGGTTCATACAAGGAAAGTTGTGTATTAGAGAGGATTCAACTAGACGGCGACTGTTCGAGTTGGAAGTAGGGAAGACAGTTTTAGCAGAAGACCAGTCAATAGGATGGCTATGATCTCTGATGTGACAAAAAAGAGCATTGTTAGTGTCGGCAAGCCTAATACTATTTTTGTGCTCCCTAAGCCTGTCAGAAAGAGATCGACCAGTTTCTCCGAAGTATTGAAGAGGACAGGAGGAGCAAGAAATAGAGTAGACACCAGGAACATCTGTAGAGGGAGGAGAGGTATGAACGAGATTAGTGCGAAGAGTGTTAGTCAGGCGGAAGGTAAGCTTGATGTCTAAGGGACGGAGAGAATTGAGATTAGAAAGACCGGAAATGTAGGGAAGGCAGAGGATGGAAGAATTCCCAGGAGTAGAGAGTTTGAGAGAGAAGAAATTGCATTTAGCACGTGAGAAGGCAGAGTCTATGAAATGGAAAGGGTAGCCAAGATGGGAAAAGGAATTATGAAGAGTGAAAATTTCTGCTGGAAGGAACTGAGGATCACAGATGCGGAGGGCACGGAGAAAGAGGGAGATAAGAACACTTTTCTTGACAGGGGAAGCATGATAGGAAAAGTAGTGAATGTACATGCCACTGTGCATAGGTTTTCGGTAAACGGAAAAGGAAAAACCTGTATCTGAGCGGTGGACATGGACATCAAGGAAAGGAAGCAAGGAATTAGATTCCCATTCAGCTTTAAACTTAATGGAAGGGGCAAGATTATTAAGAGCTTCAAGAAAAGGTTGGAAGAGACTGGAGTCATGAGGCCACAGAGCAAAGATGTCATCCACATAGCGGAGCCAGAGTGAAGGTTGCACATTGAGGGTAGGAAGAAGAACAGTCTCGAAGTATTCCATTTAAAGATTAGCAAGGACAGGAAAGAGAGGAGAGCCCATAGTGACACCGAAGGTTTGAGAATAATATTTCCCTTGGAAGGAAAAGGAGTTAGAGTCCACACAGAGGCGGATAAGATCAAGAAAGACATCAGTAGGTATAGGAAGATGAAGAAACCCTTCATGGGCCTTCTCTCTAAGGAAATCAAGGACATCATCAAGAGGGACATTGGTGAAGAGGGACTCAACGTCAAGACTAAGCATCTTACAGGTTGGGAGAGAGCGAACCCGTTCAATGAAGTCTTGAGAGTGACGGAGGTGGGCAGGAGAAAAAGTACCAAGAAAGGGAGTGAGGGTTTTGGCCAGCCAAGAAGCAAGACAATAAGAGACAGAACCTCTAGAGGATATGATAGGACAAAGAGGAATATCAGGTTTATGAGTTTTGGGAAGGCCATAGAAATAGGGAAGAGAGGGACAGATGACACGAAACCGTTGAACAAGGTCAAAGTCAGGAGGACAGAGGTCGGAGAGAGTCCTTAGATTTTTGTTGAAAGTTCTCTTGATGCGATCAAGAGGGTTGGAAACGAGAGGAGTGTAGGTACTCGAGTCAGAGAGCAAGACATCAGCTTTACGGAGGTAATCCTCGCGATCAAGGATAACTACCGAATTACCTTTGTTAGAAGATAGTATGACAATGTTAGTGTTGGATTTAAGAGAAGAAAGGGCAAGTTGGTAATGGCGTGGAAGGTGGTGATTATTAGAAAACAGACTAACAAAAGCAGGAAGGAGAGCGCCACGAAAAGTGGACAAGTCAGGAAGATTACGGGAGCGAGATTGACGAAAGGAGTCAAAAGAGCTAATCAGGGAAATACCAGCGCGAGGAGTAGGCGAAGTGGCAAAGGAAAGGCCAAAACCAAGAAGTTCAAGCTCGTACTGAGAGAGTGAGACAGAAGACAATTTAGTAACACAGTCAGTGAGGGAGAATTTAGACCAAGGGCTAGCTGAGATGAGACGTTGAAGTTTATTCTGTAGTTTGGAAGAATGAATTTGTGTATTCAGGCGAGCAGTGTCAAAGGCAATGGTAGAGAGAAGGTTACAGAGATCCTGTGGTAGAGCCGCAAAGAGAGCACGTTGACGTTGACGGAAAGTGAAGAAGGCATCTTCAACCTGTGATTTAGTAGAAAGAATGAGCTGTAGTGGAAGGAAGGCGGGGTAGGGGTCGGCCTAGGAAAGGTTGGAGGGAGGGGGTAAAGGAGGTTTTGTGTGCGAGGGGCTTGGACTTCCAGCAGGCATGCGTGAGCGTGTTTGATAGGAGTGAATGGAGACAAATGGTTTTTAATACTTGACGTGCTGTTGGAGTGTGAGCAAAGTAACATTTATGAAGGGGTTCAGGGAAACCGGCAGGCCGGACTTGAGTCCTGGAGATGGGAAGTACAGTGCCTGCACTCTGAAGGAGGGGTGTTAATGTTGCAGTTTAAAAACTGTAGTGTAAAGCACCCTTCTGGCAAGACAGTGATGGAGTGAATGATGGTGAAAGTTTTTCTTTTTCGGGCCACCCTGCCTTGGTGGGAATCGGCCAATGTGATAATAAAATAATAAAATAATAATGAGCTGTTGAAGTAGGAGACGGGCATGATCAGGAAAGGGAGTGCCCAGTGGGTTGGTTTCCAGGAAGTGGGAGAAGGAAGGGGGTAGAACTTATTCAGCAAGACAGTCACGTAGGAAGCGAAGCTGATTCTTACGACGCCTGGTAGCAATAAGAGCAGCCTCATAAGATCGAAAGAGGGGTTTAAAAGAGGGAAGAACATTAAAAAAGTTGGAGAGAATATGACGCTTAACTGCGGGGTCCATAAATAACAAAAAAGGCACAATACCGTGACTGGAACGATATTCTTATATCTTATTCTCTTGCTTCTTGGCTGGCCAAAACCCTCACTCCCTTTCTTGGTACTTTTTCTCCTTCCCACTTCATGGCAGCCGACAGCGGCTTCAAAGCCACCTTATCTTTAATGGACAATGTACTGTGTAGGTGCTTTACACAATGAGAAGCATTTCTTTTATTCATTGGAACCACGGCTAGGGCTAAAAGTAAGCAGGTTATAACAAATGGAGAAAAAGAAATTAGAATGACTTGTGCAGGAAGTAGCACTACACCACCAAACAGTAACAGCAGGTTGGTGTGGCGACCCTGGAAATTTGAAATTATGCTAGCCAAAATTAGTGCTGAATAACTGAAGGAACCGAATAACTGATTGCCAGATTTGTGGTAACAGACCTGTATTCTATTTTTTGGTAGATAAGAATTTCATTGCAAATAAAAAATCAAAATGGAATTCTTGTGTAAAGCCTAGAAACATAACTAATAAACAGAGGAAATGTTATTTTAGTGTCAGAAATGCCTGCATTATTTATACTGGACCCTATTTTAAAATTGGAATATTTTGAATTTTGTGAAATTGGCCAAATTACCAATTTCTGATCACTTTACTAGGTAGTTGAAATAGCTGATTGGGCAGTTCTTGTGCTCAGTCAATAAAATAGAAGGCATACTAGCAAAATAGCTAAGAATTTGGTTGACTGGAACAATGTAATTGGCCTAAAATAGTGAAATTGGGCAAAATCACCATTGCATGAATATCGCAGCAAATTTTACTTTAGCGTAATTTCATAATTTTTCCATCAAACTTAATAGTTTTTGTTTTATTACCTTCAGTAAAACATTCTCTACCATTTCTAAAGAAGATTTTTTTTTTTTTTTTGACTGTTGACAAGTTTCAGATCAAGGGTCTGAACCCTGAAAGGGTTAATCAAGCTAAAAAAGGTGAAGGTCAAGGTTATTGTTAAACATGAGTTCAGTATTTAGATTTCAATAAGTGTTACACAATGTCTCTTGATTTTTTCCCTGTACTTCTAAATGACTGCAAATTTTGATTGTGCATTGCATGTTTGCTGTTGATTTATCTTGTCATATACGTATACAATGATTTAGGTTGGGTTGGACAACTGCACTGATCCAGATACACGTGTTTCATATGTCACAACTGAAGTATTGGTCCAGAAGATGGTTCACCAGCATAGCCTTAACAAGTACACACACATCATCTTGGATGAGGTTCATGAGAGAGATTGCCACACAGACTTTGCTCTGCTGATTGTAAAAAAGTTGCTGTACACGGTTTCTCCTAATGTTAAGGTGAGGGACATCATTTAAATTTTGTCTTCTGATAGAACTTTTTAAACAAAATTTTTTATATATATCTTAGCCTTTTCCCATTTAAGTGTGGTAGAACAAGCTTGTGTATTCAAAGTTTGTGTATTCTTAATTCAAGTTGAGCAAAAGAAAACTTAAGACAAAAATATTACTCTAGTGTTTCTTAATTAAAGTTGCAGACTGAAAGAAGTCATTTCAAATTTTCTGTTAATTTTCCCTGTTCCCTCTATGTAGGGAGTGACTTCAGTAGAAAAGCCTCCAGTCATATCAGTCTTAAAATTCCTTTCCCATATTGTACCCTTTGTCATTGTTAGCATTTTCAGCCTTCCATCAACACTCATATTTTTTTTAGATGTGGTATCTTATTTGGTAGCTCTTTTTGAGTCTAATCTTTTTTTTTTTTTACCTCAGCAGCCATTTGCAATGAATGAAAAGGCACAATACCATGACTGGTATTGTGCAGGCTGTTTGTGTATCTCTTGTAAAGGCACTGTGACTCGAAGAAAACACATTCACCATCATTCATTCAGTTAATGTATTGAGAAGTGTGATGACATCACACCTCAGACACCCTTCGACTACAACATCTCCACCCCCTCCAGGACTCAAGTCTGGCTTATTGTTGTTCCTGATTTCTTTCATATTACATTGCCCATACAATACCTGTATATCCAATAACCCTTTTAAGGGTGGTCCCATAATGTTACGGCTTTGAAGCCAGGGTTGGTCCTGTAATACTACGCCAAAATTCTAGTGGCTTCCAATCTTGTGGGAGAAACCTGGTAGGACTACACATGAGGGAATGCATCTGTGTGGTCAGTGTGAGCAGTACAAAAAAAAAATTCAGCAGCTCGTAATGCATAATGAGAAGAAACTGTGACCGTGTTTTTAATGTAAAATAGCGACTTTACAGGGTACACTGGACCCCCGGTTCGCGATGCTATCGGTATCCGATAACTCCGGTAACCGATGCATTATATCATCAGAAACTCGTGCACAGGAGACTATATTCATTTATAACAGCACAAAACATACTCAACCCCTGCCAATTTGGATTTAGGAAAAATAAAAGCACTAATGATGCAATCATAAAAATGCTACATCTGCTTTACACAGCATTGGGAAATAAGGAATATCCACTAGAAATTTTTATTGACCTAAGAAAAGCTTTTGACACAGTAGACCACGACATCCTACTCCACAAACTTGACCATTACGGTATAAGAGGCCATGCGCTTGCTTATTTCAAATCTTACCTTACTAATAGGTATCAGTATGTTACCATTAAAGACACAGCATCAACAACACGGCCACTTGATACTGGAGTTCCGCAGGGAAGTGTCCTTGGTCCCCTGCTCTTCCTCATATACATCAATGATCTTCCAAACGTATCCCAACACCTGAAACCCATTCTCTTTGCTGACGACACGACTTACGTCATCTCTCACCCTAATCTTGCCACCCTCAACACCATTGTTAACGAGGAGCTGATCAAAATATCGACTTGGATGACAGCCAATAAACTTACGCTTAACACTGACAAAACCTACTATATTATGTTTGGTAGCAGAGCAGGAGATGCACAAATTAACATTAAGATCGACAACACTCTAATTACCAGACATAATGAGGGCAAATTCCTAGGCCTATACCTTGACAACAACCTGAATTTCAGCACCCATATCCAACACATAACCAAAAAAGTATCCAAAACAGTTGGGATCCTCTCCAAGATACGATACTACGTGCCGCAAAATGCCCTTCTCACACTATACCACACTTATTTATCCATACCTCACCTATGCTATTTGTGCTTGGGGATCAACTGCAGCAACACACCTAAAGCCAATTATAACCCAACAAAAAGCTGCAGTAAGAATAATCACTAAATCCCATCCCTGGCAACACACCCCCCCACTCTTCATAGATCTAAACTTACTCCCTGTTCAGTACATCCACACTTACTACTGTGCAATCTACATCTACAGGACCTTAAACTCCAATATCAACCTTGACCTAAAACGCTTTCTTGATAGTTGTGACAGAACCCACAGGCATAACACCAGACACAAACATCTCTACGACATTCCCCATGTCCGACTAAACCTTTACAAAAATTCAATGTATGTCAAAGGCCCTAAAATCTGGAACACCCTACCTGAGAACTCTAGAACTGCAGACACATTCATCACCTTCAAAACTACCATTAGAAAACATCTTATCTCCCTGATAAACCCCATCAACTAACTACACAAATACCACCTGGTGGTTCACACTTACACTCACTCACCCATTTGACCATAAACAGAAATATTAATCTCAATCTTAAAATAATGAATCCTATGATACTCCAATACTGAAACTATGTACTGTGCCAAAACAAAAGTATTCACATTGCTAAACTCACAAACTAGTACATGTACGTATTTAGTCACTTAGCCATAATACCAACTTACCTCATAATTTGTAATATTTTAAAATAAAGAATTAAACTAAGTCTGCCCGAAATGCCTAGCCATGCTAGGCGTTCTAGTGGTACACTCTGTAATCATTATTTAACTACATGTAAACCACACAACAACCAAATTCTGTAAATTCAACATTGTAATCTTTATAGAGAATAAACTTTGAATTTGAATTTGAATCACAGAAAATTTGCCTCGGTTCCCGTTACAAAACCTGGTATGTGATACGATTCGTACGAGACGTGTCCACGTGTGGCCTGAACTGCCCTGTGTGTGCCAATGTTTACAAGCCAGCCAGTGTGCACACATCTAAGGATACATTCGATACATTCCATATTATCACTGCTTTTGGTGCTTGTTTCTGCAAAATAAGTCATCATGGGCCCCAAGAAAGCTTCTAGTGCCATCCCTTCGAGACCAAGGGTGCTATTGACTATATATCCAATAACCCTTTTAAGGGTGGTCCCATAATGTTGCGGCTTTGAAGCCCAGGGTTGGTCCTGTAATACTACGCCAAAATTCTAGTGGCTTCCAATCTTGTGGGAGAAACCTGGTAGGACTACACATGAGGGAATGCATCTGTGTGGTCAGTGTGAGTAGTATAATATGACATATTTTATTCATTCTAGTCATAATGTTGGTGTTTGACAAGACACGTAGGAGACAAGAGGAAGACAAGTTTATTATGCTTCAATATGATGCTAATTCTCTTCCAGCGGCAACGGCACCAGAAACAGGAACCTTGTCCTCTATTTTTACTTCTACCTGAGGTTCCCAGCAGCCCAGTGATGGCCTAATCAAGACCCACATAACACTAACGTGTGTGGATACCCAGAATGATATAAATGAACTGCAGAAATCACCCAAAAGTACACAAATTACCAACTAATAGGACTCGTATTACCACCTCCTACCCCGCTGCCACTGAAGTGATACTCCACAACATTCACCCATCGCCTACTATAAACCCAAAGCCACAGCCAATGGACAAGGGTCAGAGCAATAAAAGAAGATCCAGTAACCAGCTAAGGACTCCTAACATCAAAGGTGAGACCAGTAATACCATGAGGAAAACTTCTGGTACTGCCAGCCAGGACACAACCCTCATCACCCACCGGCATCGCCACAACACATGACAGACAACAACAAACATGGCCGCCGTCACAGTCCAAGGTAACTCCTTCCTAGGATTTGATGTCAAGAAGATCACCGACCCAGAAATAGCTAAACTCCTTACGATTCAGAACCAAACGATCACCAAACTAACTCAAGAAATGCAGGAACTAAAAGCTAGCAATGCAGAGTACCTCAGCAAGATCACAGCTCTAGAACATAAACTAGACACTCTGGAACAACAAAGCAACACCCACACCCAGTCCCTAGACACCATCAACACACTAACAGACCAAGTCACCCTCCTTACTACCAACCTTATAGAGGAAAGATCAAGAGTGGACCAACAACTTGCCTATGTCATAACCAACTTCCAAGACCATAATGACCAACAGCAGCTATCTGACACTGTTGTAGCTAACAGCAAACATCTCCCACCCACAGTCACCCAAGAGACCTGCATGGAGACCACCCTACAACTTATCAAGGACCACCTTCGCCTTAACATATGTAGTGATGACCTAAAGGATTGCAAACTGATGGGCTACCAAGCAGGTAAAAAAAAATAGTGCTGTTAAAATTCCAAACTAGCCTACAAAGAAACAACCTACTAAAAACATCTATTTCTATGAAAACTAATGTTTACGTCACTGAGTGCCTCACCAAAACAAGACAAAACCTCCTTTATCGGCTAAGAAAATTACGCTATGCCCAAAAAATCCACCAGTGCTTTGTGAGGGACGGAAAAATCGCAGTTAGGAAACAGCCCACTGGGAAGATACTTCATCTCTACAGAACATGACCTTAAAACATTCCTAAGTGAGGCTGGACTAACAGAATCATAGTAAAGTGCAGATAATACCCACAGTCCACCGTTAGTGTTATATTGTCATAAATTTGTGCCCCCCTAAATTTCCAATACCCCCAACTACTTTTGATTGTCACTGTTGTGTTCAATGACCATTCTACCTCAGTCTTAATTGTGTTTAATATCTACAGAATCTATCTCCTTTTTTACATCTTACCACATCACTGTTCTATCTTACTTTATTTTAATCTAACCATAACTTGTCCTCAATTATTGTACCTCACTTTAAGAAATACTCTATTGCCCAATTTTATTCTAAAATCTCTATTATTGCCCAATTTTACTTTAAACTATATTGACCAAACTTTCTGTAAACTTTTATTATTGCCCATTTTTATTCTGTACTTTTTTAAACTAGTATTTTCAACTACAACTTTTATGTTATCCTGTCTACCATCTTACTAGCATATTATAACCAAGTCATTGCCATTTTTATTTTTATTATTTTTTTTTTTTATTATTCTTTTGCTACCTTAACTTGTGTATTTTATCTTGTCAATTTAAATCTAGTTATATGTACTTTAGTTTTTGTAAACAACTTACATAAAACCTTAGTTGTCCACTGTATAATGTATTTATAGATGGAGTTGGAAAAGAAGGAAATGGTAGTGGCAGAGATAATGAATCTGATATATAATGATAACCGAATGGCCGATAACCGAATTAAAATTTCCCATAAGAATTAATGAAATGCAATTAATCCGTTGCAAACCAAAATATTCACACAAAATTTTTTTTTTTTTAAATTATTTAAGGATTACATATCTTTATTGAAGGCTAATGCTGGCTTCTGGAAAATAGGGAGGAGGAAAGAGGGAGGAGTTAGTGTTTGGAAGGGAAATCCCCTTCCATAAAGACAAGGTAGCAAAACCTTCTCTGAGGTTATTTCCCTTCTCTGTCTTCTATTGCCACTAGGACCAGCTTGAGAGTCACTGAACCCCTGTCTCACAAAATAACTGTCCTGAGTGCTTTGTTTCTGGCATCTCTTTAAGATTTCCCTGAAGTGGGACAGGGTTTTGTCGTTAAACATGTTGCAGATATGGCTAGTTTCAGCTTTGTCAGGGTGGTGTTTCTCTACAAAAGCTTGCACCCTAGTCCACATTGCACACACCTCTAATCTATGAAGAAGGCACCTCCTTCACTCTCTCTTCCTCCTCCTCTGAAGCAAGTTCCTCAGCTGCAGTCTGTTGCTGTTCGGATGAAGCTCTTGCAGCTCTTCCTGTGGTCCTCCACCAACTCTTCCACATCCTTGCCACTCGCCTCCAACCCCAGGGACTTCCCCAGTGCCACAGTAGAGTCCACAGGGTCGTCAGGGTCAGAGTGAGCCTCAAACCCTTCAAAATCCCTCTCTTGCACACAATCTGGCCACAATTTTCTCCAAGCAGAGTTTAAAGTCCTGGAAGTCACTCCGTCCCAAGCCTTACCTATAAGGCTTATGCAATGGAGGATAGTGAAGTGATTACTCCTGAACTCTCTTAGGGTCAACCGAGTGTCCGAGGTCACTTCAAAGCACTTTTGAAACACTGCTTTTGTGTAGAGTTTTTTGAAGTTAGAAATGAACTGCTGGTCCATGGGCTGGAGGAGAGGAGTGGTGGTAGGAGGCAAGAACTTCACTGTGATGAAACTGAAGTCCCTAAACGTTGGTCTTGCAAGTCTTGAGGATGTGCAGGAGCATTGTCCAGTACCAGGAGGCACTTGAGTGGCAATTTCTTTTTAATGAGGTATTGGCAGTTTGGAGGGATATGTTGTGTATTTTTATACGTATATGCTTCTAAACTGTTGTATTCTGAGCACCTCTGCAAAAGCAGTGATAATGTGTGAGTGTGGTGAAAGTGTTGAATGATGATGAAAGTATTTTCTTTTTGGGGATTTTCTTTCTTTTTTGGGTCACCCTGCCTCGGTGGGAGACGACAACTTGTTGAAAAAAAAAAAAAAATTCACACTATGGCCAAACACATCATTAACCCACTCTTTGAAAATTTGCCTTGTGACCCATGCCTCATGATTAGCCTTCCACATCACACACAATCTATTCTTCATGACATTGTTTATCTTGAACACACTGGGATTTTCTGAGTGATACACGAGTAAAGGCTTCACTCTGAAATCCCCTATAGCATTGCCACACAATAAAAGAGTAAGCCTGTCTTTCATAGGCTTGTGTCCTGGCAGTGCCTTTTCCTCCTGGGCAATGTAGGTCCTGTTGGGCATTTTCTTCCAAAACAGGCCTGTTTCGTCACAATTGAATATTTGTTGAGGGTTTGAATCCTTCAGCCTTTACATAGTCCTGGAATTCATGAGCATACTTTTCAGCTGCACATTTGTCAGAACTTGCAGCCTCACCATGCCTTACAACACTGTGTATGCCACTACGCTTCTTAAATCTATCAAACCATCCTTTGCTGGCCCTAAATTCACAAACTGCAGCACTTGTTCAAGGCATTTTCTTTGCAAGATCCTCATGCAACTGCTTTGCCTTCTCACAAATGATCGACTCCATAACACTGTCTCCCACTAATTCTTTTTCCTTAACCCTTAAACGGTCCGAATGTAAATATACGCTTTTCCAGCATTTGAAAGTATGTAAAAAATGTACATCATCTTTTTTTTTTTTTTACATTTGAAAATGTGTAAAAAACTTTTATCTACATATTTTTTTTTTGTTATATTTGAAAATATGTAAAAAAGATACATAGATCTTCTTTTGGAGCACTACGGATTTGAACGTCGATCTATTTGGACCGTTTAAGGGCTAATCCATAATAATAATAACTTATCCATCTCTTCCATTAGTGGTGGCCTTTGTTTAGTTAGAAAAGTTTCTCCTTTTGCAACATTAGCATCTTTGATTTGTTCTTTCTTTGCCAAGATGGCTGTAATTGTTGATTTATTCTTGCTGTACATTCTGGCAAGTTCCATCACCTTCATACCACTCTCCAGCTTTTCTATCACTTCACGCTTAAATTCCATGGTGCTTCTCACTTTCTTTACCACAGAAACTTTACTAGGAACTTTCTTTGGAGCCATGGTTACTTATTTCACAGTTGCACTGCAAGAAAAACCACTAAAAGCAATGGTAAACAAGCGAAATGTTTGGATGTATAAGCAGAAGCTTCCTCAGCCACCGAGAGACAAAGCCAAACTGATGACCGAGTTGACTGATAACCAAACCGGCCGATAACCGGGGGTCCACTGTAGTTGATTTTGTGTATTTTATGATAAGTATTGGAATCATCCATTCATTCTATTATCCTAGATATTTGATTACAATTGCAGATAATTTTGATGTCTGCCACCATTGATGCTTCCAAATTTGCCCATTATTTTGCTTCCCCTGTAATGAAGCAACTTGTGCCTGCACCAATTATTTCTGCTGGGAAAGCAACTGCTTACAGTATCTGGATCTTTTATTTGGATGATCTTCATGTTATCTGCAAAGACAAACCGGTCAGTCTTATTTTAAAGACAACGTGCATTTACTGCAAATTACATATACAGCCACTGAATATTTGTGTATATTTTTTTGCAAATATATAAATATCTTTTTGTAAAATATCACTTTTCTGAAAAGGTAGTTTAGCTGATTTTTAATATTTGTAGGCTCAATATTTACCATAGTGTATCAAAATATTTGATTTCTCAATTATTTTTGTTTTCATTTTGATCTTAAAAAAATTGTGTGCACATGTAATAAGGAATTTCCAGTGAGAAAGGTAAACTGCTAATTTTTTTTTGTTTCCAGAATATAATTCCCAAGTTACCTTCCATATCTCCAGAGGTTCCAGGTATATCAAAGGATATGTATAAACTAGCCACAGAGATGATAAAGTACTTTGACTGTATAGAGAGGCATGAGGAAAGTTGCTTGCCCACAGAATTTCCAAAAAACAGGTAATTCCTTAGCTTATATGTGTGTTGTTTTTGTCTTGATACCTCTGTGAACAGACAAGTCTTCTTACTAACATCATATCTTACAACATATAAGTGTAGAAAGCAACATTGACACTTAACCCTTTGCGTAAGCCGTACTAGTACGGCTTACGCACCAGTGTCTGTGACGTACTAGTACGCATAAATTCTAGCGCCCTCAAATCTAGTGAGAGAAAGCTGGTAGGCCTACATATGAAAGAATGGGTCTATGTGGTCAGTGTGTGCAGTATAACAACAATCCTGCAGCACACAGTGCGTGATGAGAAAAAAAATTGACCGTGTTTTTGGATTAAAACAACAATTTTGCACTGTATTTTCATATGGTATTTATGGTTGTCTTCTAGTTTTCCTGGTCTCATTTTATAGAATGAAAGACATATTACAGAAATTGAGATGATTTTGATTGGTTTCACAAAGAAAAGTACCTTGAAATTGAGCTCAAAGTAGCAGAAATGTTCGATTTTTACCAAAGTTCAAAAGTAAACAAATCATGCTATGCGTCCAATACACATAAACTGGAGAGTCTAATATTCTTTCACAAGTGCGCTGATATTATTTATACCATTTCTACACTAATGCAGTAGTCTGCATAACAGTAAATCTTCTACTTTTTTTTTGTGAGAATAAAAATTAAAAGTGAAAAGCAAAAGAATGTAAGAGGGGCATGGGGACGTGACTAATGAACAGAGGAAATGTTATTTTAGTGCCAGGAATGTCTTTCTTGTTTGTTCTGGACCCTATTCGAAAATTGGCATCTTTTGAAATTTGTGAGAGATTGGCAAAATTGCTAAATTCTGACCACTGTATTGGATAGTTGAAATCGGTAAATGGGTGGTTTCTTGTATTCATTTGATAGAAAAAATGGAGTTCTAGCGAAATAGTTATGATTTTTGTTGACTAGTACAGTGGAATTGGCCGAAAATAGGGCTCAAAGTGGGCAAATTTGCTGATGCGTAAACATCGTCGAGACCTCTAACTTCGCGAGAGCATAATTCCGTAAGTTTTCCATCAAATTTCATACTTTTGGTGTCATTATGATCGGGAAAAGATTCTCGATCTTTTTGTAAGAAAAAAATAACTTTTTTTTTTTTTTAAATTTGGGGGACCCTGAGAACAAGTCTCGGAGAAGGCCTGTGGACCCTGAAAGGGTTAATAGGCATCATAAAGATAAAGATAGATTTTATTTCTTTGCTAAGGTTACAGTGTGTAATGACAATTTTGATTTGTTAAGTACAAAGAAAGCCACTATCATTCCAAAGGCATTTAGGGCAGACTAAACCTAGTGCTTACAGATTACTTAATATTAGACATGTAAAGAGTGGTAAATTTTAATTATACATTGATTTCATTATTACAATAAAGGTAGCTAGTGGTTTTCAGTAATTAAATTTCTAGTTGAGATGAAGTATATAAAAAATTACAGTATTACAATTTAGCACAGTTTACAATAATTAGGGATCGGGAGAGATGTCTCTCGGGCGACAGATGTATCTCTGGAAACCACCTTTCGGATTCCGGGGGTGGTGGCCGAAGGAGGTATGCTTTGTGGTGGCTATCCGGCCGCTCTCTTTTGTCCACCGAGGTAGCTCGGCAGATGTGAGGTTGCTATCCCGGATTGCTGGCTTACTGGCATGATGGGTAGGGTATGGCACGAGATTCATGCTGCATCTGCGCTACTTGCGCTGCTGAGGTCCTCTTGGGGGCGGAGGGAGATTTCTGGCCCTTTCATTCCTCCTAGGAACTATCCCTCCCCGGTCCCCCCCCTTTTTTTTATTCTTTTTTTATTTTTATTCTTTTTTTTCTTAACAAAAAGAAAGAAGTAACCTAAACATGGCAGCCCTAGTCCATGAACCTGCTACACCCAGGCCCCTTCTTGATACCGTACCCCGTTCTGACCCCGCCTCGTCTTTGGACCACTCTTCGGACACTCCTCATGCCTCTGTACCTTTTGCCAATGCTGTTTCCTCACCCGCTTCAGGTATTGAGGTCTCGACTGACTCCTTCGATTTATCTGACCTCTGCTCTCCTTTGACTATGCTTCCGGCCTCTCCCTCTACGGTGCGGCAATTTTCGAATCGCCGGTCCGTTCCACGTCGGACCAACTCTGGTCACACGCCTGAACGCCAACGACAATTACCTACTGATGATACTTCTCCACCTTCTCGTTCTTCTCAGAAAAGATCGACACGTCCTGCACTCCCTTTCCACGTTCAGTTTCAGAATGCACAATGGACTAAATTCTTCACTTTACGACCAACTTCCTCTGCTGCCTATCTTTCCGACCACAGTACTGGCAAGGCACTCCTACACCATGTTGGTAAAGATATTTCTTTTCATGCTCTTAAGAGCGGTACGCGCATCATCACTGTACAGAATGCTACCCAAGCTCATGATCTTTCTCTTCTTTCCCATATCGATACTGTTCCTGTCACTACTGAAAAACATCATTCCCTCAATGCTTGTAGTGGTACCATCATTCTGCCCCATACCATAGTTCAACAAAATTTCCAGACATGTGGCAATGACATTCTTGAACAGCTGAAACTCCAAGATCTCCCAATCCTCAAGGTATACACTTGTGTTCTTCCTGCCCACGGGCGGAGATGATACCCTAGCAATATGGCTCGTTTAACTTTTGACAGCCGTGAACTCCCATCCTCAGTTTATGTAGCAGGACATCGGTTACAAGTTCGAAAGGTGATCCCTACACCGCAACAGTGTAGAAATTGCTGGCGATTTGGCCATCCAGCGAAATATTGCAGATCTATAGCCGAATGCCCAGTCTGTGGTGCCGATGACCATTCTAATACGTCTTGCAATCGACCTCCCTCTTGCCTTAATTGTCATGAGGCTCACCCTTCGTACTCTCGCCATTGCCAAGTCTACTTAAATGAGCGGGAAATCCTTTACCTCAAAGAGGCAGAAGGTCTCCCTTATGCCATGGCAGTTTCTCATCTCCGCCTCCAAGGGAGACTACCTCGTGTTTCTTATTCCCGTGTTTCAAAATGTCCCCCCACTTCTGGGGTTCCATCTTCTGCAGCCTCCTCTGTGGTTACCTCTCCCATAGTCACTCCTGTATCTAATTCTTTTGCTGTCCTAGGCTCTGACGTCCCTACTTCAATGCCTCAGTCTGTTCTCGCTTCTTCGTGTTCTCCCTCACAAGCCTCAGTATCGACGAGATCTTGTACGACACCTCCTCCCAATCGTCCCTCTACTTCTCAGAAGTTAAAAAAAGGTCCTTTAACCCCTCCTTCCCTTCTTCCTCCTCCTCATTTTACCTTCCCTGTCTCTGTACCTGGTTCTTCCCCTCTCACTGGCTCTGTTACAAGTGTAGAGGTTCACCCTCCTCCTCGTACTGTACCTTCCTCCCCTGTTCCCTCCCAAGTTTCTTCCTCTTCTGCCACCTCCCAGGTTTCTCCCTCTTCTGTTCCCTTCCACGCTTCTTCACCAGTTCCCTCCACCCTTTTGCCCCCCCCCCACCTACCTTGGTACAATCCATTACAGTTCCAATCTTTACTCATCCTCCCCCTACCATCTCCAATATTGTCTCCCATACGACGTCTCTGAATTCTGAAACACTTGAAGCAATCTCTGAATATATTGCAGAGACCAAACCATCAATGGACACTGATCCACCCTCTGTTCCTTCTCTCTCCTCTCCTCCATCTGCGCAACTCCTTTCTTCACAGCACACTGTTCCTTCGCTGCTTAAACGTTTTCCGCTGCTTCTACATGTGGACTTTTCTAACTCCTCTAGTCCGTAGGAACCCTTACCTGCGGATTTCAGGTATCTTTATCATTGCCAATCGTGGCCTATTTACAGTGGAATATACGCGGCCTCAGGGGTAATCGGGGTGAGCTTCAGATGTTACTCTCCCAGTTTTCCCCTGTTGATGTTTGCTTACAGGCTATAATTTATTGTATTCTTAAGATCCTTTTCCAGATGGGACCTTTAATGAAAATGCCCTTCTTCTACGCATTGATATTCCGTACCATCAGCTATTTGTTCGTACTTCGCTGCATTACACAGCAGCCCGTATCCACTTGCATAGGTGGTACACGCTCTGTTCTTTATATCTCTCTCCTTCTTGGGCATTATCTATTCCGGATATTGCCTTTCTTGTTTCGTCATTACCGCCACCGCTTCTGTTACGTGGCGATTTTAATGCCCATCATTTCCTCTGGGGGGTCTCACTGTGATTCCCGTGGCATTCGGTTAGAGGCTTTTCTTGCTACCCACCCCCTCCATGTTTTAAATACAGGTACTCACACCCATTTTGATCCTCGGACTCTCACTCTCTTGCATCGATCTCTGTCTGCTCTTCCTCCGCTGCATTAGACTTCACCTGGTCTGTTCTCCCGGATTTACATGACAGCGATCATTTCCCAATCATTCTTACTTCCCCTTCATATTCACCACCTCTTCGTATCCCACGCTGGCAATTTGATCAGTCAAATTGGAACCTCTACTCACAACTGACTGTTTTTAGTGAGGTTCCTTCTTCGTTCTCCATTGATGAGCTTTTACACCTCTTCTCGTCCTCCGTTTTAACTGCAGCTTCTCATTCTATACCCCAAACTTCAGGCAGGCATTCTCAGAAATGCATGCCTTGGTAGTCTCCTGCTTGTGCTCGTGCAGTACGTTTGAAACGCGCTGCATGGGGCAGGTAACGGTACAATAGAACCAGGGAGAGACTTCTTGATTTTAAGCAGAAGCGTGCGATCGCTCGCCGTGTCATCCGTGACGCTAAACGCACTTGCTGGCGAGATTGTCTCCACCATCACCTCTGCTTCCTCTATGAGTGTAATCTGGAAAAAAGTACGAAAACTGAGTGGTAAATATTCTCCTGACCCGGCTCCTGTTCTGCGGGTTGCCGGTGTTGATGTAGTAAACCCACTAGATGTTGCCAATGAAATTGGCAATCATCTGGTCCGTATTTCTCAGTTGCTCCATCTATGCC